ATTTATTTCAAAAATTCTATCAAATTTCAAGAATTTCAGATATTTTCCTGTGTATGTCCTTTAATAGACATGATCTGGAATGTCTTTATCAATTTAAATAACCCTGACTTTACCCTGATTTCAAAAACTTTGCTTTAAATAATGTTGAATACAATACAAAGATACGTACACGTATGTAAACCACTTCATGCTTGAAAAAAATATAAATCAAGAAACTAAGACAGAAATTATTGAAACAAATGTCTCGAAACAAACAAACAACAAAATCGATTCGTCCGTAATCTTATATGTAGAAAACTGGACTTTATATTTTTGTCTAAAAAAGTAAGACTTTCAAGCCCCATATACATCAATATTTATTGTCAAATCCAGTTACTGCTCCCGTATCAAAGTCAAAGAATTATACAGGAACATACTTTCTGTAAAAACTGCAACTTTTTTTGCTTAAGGTAGTTAAGTACATATATTTATTAAATTTAAGTAACAAAATTAATTGTTTGTATAAAAGCAGTTTTTTTTAAATATATCGTTATATTCTTTAATGCTATAATAATAAAAAAAGATACAAAAAGGAGCCTATAAATTGAAAGCCCTCTCTTACTTTCTTTGGAAACCATAACATTAAATATGAAAAGTTTTTATGAAGCTTTTTCTTAATGAATATTGTTTTAACGGCTATAAAATATATGTCTACTGTAAATTAACTTAAAAGAACGTATTTTTTACAAACTTTTAATCAAAAAATTTATGTCCTTTTAAATATGTCTTGAAAATATATAGTGAAGACAAAAGATGTTTTTCTTTTCACAAATCAATCAATAACTACATAAATCACTTTCTCTGTATTAGTTAATATGTATTGTTTTGTTGAATATGACGTAATCTTCTGGCAGACGAGACAGATCATCCGTAACATCTTAAGCCTCAGCTATCGACCGAAATCCAACATACGACAGTTTTGGTTTCGTGATTTCATTGCTATTAGGTTGTCCGAGCCGTCCCACGTTTATTGTCCAAGATACGAGTGGATTTGTGGAAGCAATTTTCTTTATACATTTTGTTTTGTCCTTTTTCTTACAGTTTGATGGTCCACTTCGTGAGTTGTGGTTCGTCTTCGATTTAACGAAACTTTCACAATCAGAACGCTACGCAACTCTATCTTGTGTTGGAAACAAAGATTATTATTAATAAGTTTTAGATGGACTTAAAAAATAGGTGACTTGAAATTTTCAAAAGGAGTTTTTATAAAATAATAACAGTGTTTTATTTTTAAAGAACTATATTTTGTTTTTTTTATCGTATATAAAACAGCAAGTATGGTCAACATTCAGGCAAAAAGTGGGTATCATTTTCATCTAGAATATGTCATGACCCACAAAGTTCCTTCATTATCAGATCTAAAAAGTACTCTAAGATCACTTTTAGGACAAAAACATGTCATATTGTTAAAGTAGTGCCTCCCTTTAGCTCAAATAAACATGACATCGTCATTCAAATGGACACCGCACGAGGGTCTAAGGTCTGTCGTCTCGACCTTTCCTTTATTCGTCAAGTTTTTGTCACTCCTCCATTCACCCTAGCCTACATTTGTTAAGAATGTCGACCCAAAAGAACATATTTTCTTTTTGAGTTTAACACACTTCTTCTGTCCTGATTATCACACGTTCTACTCTGGTCGGACTGTATAAACATTTAAATCCTTTCGATATTACAAATAGGGACCTAGCATTTATTTGTATAATGGAGTGGATCGGATATCAATGTATCAATAGAAATAAAGTGAGCATAGAATGATGCCATTTGAGGAATCAATCAGAGCCCAACGTTCGCACAATCAGCGTGCGTGGAGCGGACGAGCTAATCAAACTAATGGCCGCTGGAGGGCCGTGCGATCGAGCCACAACAATAACAATGATGACTGATTGATTACACCTTCGCCCGTTACAACACTGACTTTTATTTATTTTTATTTTTTTGAGACCAAACTGCTCCAAAACAAGTGTAAATTATGTCTCCCATTGTTGTACATTCTTAATTAACCCATTTTAATCTTTCTTGAAACTAGAAAACCAAACTATTATAATATTTTGTTTACTTTTGCTGAATTAGGTTTAGTTTTTTTTTTTTTAAATATAACTAGCAGTAGTCATTATCAATTGTAATTTCATGGGCAGATAAAGACGTCAAAAACACCTTGCATGAAACCATTTTACGTTCAAACAAAAGGTACACCTGTGTATGTATTTAGACCCTAGTGTCTATCCGAATTTAATTTAAACCTTGTCAAATGTTATAAACTAGTTAGCATACAAACATACTTTTACATAAAGTTAGATATAAGGTTTAATACTCTATGAAGTGCTTTCCCAACAAATTCGACCGTCCTTACACGTGTTAATAATTCTCGGTAAAAGTTAGAATGATATGACATTCACATTTTGTTCAAGGCTAACAAGTGAAGCAACTCAATAATTTTTAGCCCTAAGCATTGCCGTCAGGTAAACGTCGAGTTAGCGTCACACCACGACCGGACTACGATGCCATTTTGACGTTTATTAAGTAGGAAATACGAACGTTACCAGTAACCATAATGTACTAGCTAAAAGTTGTATTAATCGAAACATCAATCGGTAGTATTGTTAGCTCACAGAAAACATCCCGATATTGTTCCAATTAAACAAATATCAAACTTATATGTATAACGTGAAAGACAATGCTGTTAACGAACAGACAAGCTAGCACAACAATAGAAATATCTTTTAGTATTCGAACCTGTGGACGTAATAATTCCGATGCGCTTTACATAGTGATAGGACGTGCTCTTGGTACAGCCATATTTTTGTGAATAAAACACAAAGGGAGTCTTTTTGTTGACAGACATAAAATCTAAATCAATGGTAAGCTCCACTCACCTTTGTTATAGCCACCATTAGGTTTTGGACGCAGTTGGCGCGGTATTCTGACCACACAGAAACCAGTTCGCAATCGCCAGGGGTTGGCACATAAAAATTCACACAGATATGTGAATAATGTACGATGTATTTTTGCGAATATTATGCTGTTCCTTATTATAATAATCTTTAAAACTCCAAATGAATTGTTAAAATTTGTAATTAAAATTTTCTTTAAGTTTAACATATTATATTTATGTAAAAGATATCAATTAGAAATAAACTAGATTTATTCCTTAATTTGTAACTTTTTTATACTTCTTTACTTATTTCTTTTAACTTTTGAGTTTAAATTTTTATTATATCTATGTAAATTCTCATGTAGGTCTCGAAAAAGGAGCAAAAAGTAAAAGACATTGCAATTTATTTTCGCATTTGTAATATATGTAATAATATCTTATAACATAACTGTGATATTAAAATTTCACATTTATGTATAAAAAATAAGGTTCAAAAACAGTTAAATACATAAATATGACAGCTTGTCAATTACATCATCCTAAGCACATCTCAACTACAGCTTCAAAAAAAAGGGTAACTTTTTTCAATAGACAAGAAAGCCACCAGGGACTATTATACAACTCCAAAAAAATACAATAATAACTTACTTAGAACGGAGAAGAATGGCTTCAATGCCGTTATAAACAAATCATCATTGACAAAAAAATGAGTCTATTTTTTTCATTCTAAACATCATTTCTCAGAGTATATTTGGCATAGTGAAAATAATATTACAGAAATTTGCCTTACACTCAAACCATATAATTTGCATACATATTAAATAGTTAGGACAATTTTATTATGTTAAACTACTCCTAGAGTTAATACAAATCAGAGGTCTTGGTATTACCGGGACCCGGAAAGTTAATGAAGTATACCGCGAACACTTTACCCGTGTCAAACTGTCAAAAACACGTCATATTTCACATGTGTATTTTTGTACTTTAAACGCTTCGTCAGTTTCGATAAGTCTACGGCGAGTTGATAAGCTTGTGCTATACGAATATCTACGCGTGAACCCATATTTCTAACTGTCACATTTCATTACAAATAAAATGTTATAAGGAGGTGTAAACATAATACTAATTCATGGTTTCGTTACGTGGAAACATATTGTATGTTGTGATACGGTGTCTTGATGCGTTAACAGACCGCCGAGGCTCCGATTTCTCAGAAGTGTTTCGCTTAACGCTCTCTGATACCGGGTTTTTTTTGATCCAAAATTATTTTACACAAAAGAATCATGCTGGGTGAGGTATTATTTTCGCTACACACTTTTTTTAACATTGTGATGTCTTGATTTCTGATACATTGAAGTTAAGGTTGTGTTACATCACAAAATAGAACCTAATTACTTTTTAGAAGGAATGTAAGTAAAGTGAAGTAGCATTAGTTATAATTAAAGATCTAGAAGAAACCGAAGTGTGTAAGAAGTGCTCGAAAAAGTAGTTAGAAACTACAACAAGTGCACACGTGGATTGTAAGCATCCAAAATTTGGCACGGAGTGTAGTGGGACTTGCACTGCTACCTGCTACTTTATTATCTCTTAACAGGGCTACCGCTTGCACCATTTTTTACTTCATCTTCCGTTACTTAAATAGGCACACTGCATTCATTAACCTTAATACTCGTTTCTTAGATATAAAAGCTTTCTTCTTAAACTTGCCCTTACTTATATGGTGATTTATTATTAATAATAATATGACATATTTTTACTCTTAATTATTTTATTTGAAAAAATATATTTTGGTTATAGAATACCTAGTAATCATTGTGTTTAAGATAAACACTAGATATATTTGTGCTACCATAATAATAGTTTAGATATATCTAGTATTAGTGGATATAATGACTAGATTAATTAGCGCAAGGAATACGTGACAACCCTAACTTCATCTGCCACTTGAACGATCGAAAGGTACGACGGCGCGCCGGTATCAGGAAGGAATGTATAGTGGGTGACTTGAACAGTTCCTGTCTCATTCGCGCGCAACCGGCTTCGCCTGAGCTAAATTTATTCGCCTACTCACTCGTACACACCAACATTTTCAATACTTACCTGCGTGAAATGATATACATCTGTTCGATATCGAAGTCTCCCTCGCACCCGCAAACTGTAATGGATTGTTGATATTGCTCTCTCTCTCCAGTTTCATGAACAGGGGGTAGACGGTGTTCGCACGCATTTGTGTTGGTGTCCGTTTATTTAGTGAACTTGGAAGCTCGGGCTTGTGTTTGTGAATAGGGTGTCGATTGTGGCTGTGTGCGTGGATTGTAGAGGCGCGACATAGCTTTGCCGTCTCCATGACTTAAAAGTTTTGTACGGAATGAAACCAGAGAGCTAGTTGTGCGCCGACCGGCACTCTCGACGGACGAGTGTTACGTATTTGCGCCAAACTTCTTCGTAACTCCCGATATTATAAACTTATAAATTGAAATGTTAACTGGTATGATAGATTAATGATATATATGTTGTGATTATATTGTATTTAATTCTAAATAAAGTGACTTGTCGGTTTAAGAGCAGAGTGATGTTTATTTTTTTGTGTAACTGCAACGTGTTTGGTTCAACGGACTGAAGAGGTTGGTCGTCACGAAATTCTTGTATAGAGACAAACAAAACTCCAGCATCTTACCTTATACAAAATTCCCAAAAAAATCTACGGAATAAATACAGTGACATATTTTTTTGTGTCGACTAAAATAATTTTATTTTCAAAGTGACCATCTTTATTGACATATATGTATATTTAATAGGCACTTAAATTATATATGAAAATAGTTATTTGCGACACCTTAAGTAAAGGCAATTATAATTTCGCTCCAAATCAGTACTTTAATTATATTAATTAAAAAAAATGTAAATAGGTTTCTTTTTAATTAAAGTTATAAAAATAAAATTAATAACCAAAACATTGCTGTTAAATAAGCTCTATAAATTTTTGATGTTTTCAATTATTTTCAAGTGTTTTCTTCGTTATTATCATTTAATTTAATTTTTAACCGTCGGGTTGAACAACCTCATAGCAGTATAAATAGACAGTTCACCGAAAAGAGGGTAAACACGTGTTCCCCTTCAAATAAGCTACCTTCAAATACATTGATATATACAAACTTGATAATTACCTTATTTGTAACATTCACCCACAAGCTAACCTTACATTAAACTAGCTAATAATCAATGACAAAATTTATAGATATACAAAAAGTTATCCATAGAAATTATTCTCTTGTTCCCATCACAATGGCAGAAAGCAATTTGCTGAAAACGGGAAACAATTGTTATTTTGACTCTACTTTTGTGGAGCAACAAAAGTGGATTGAGTAATCTCACTTAGTGTTATTTAAATTTAAAAAAATAAAACAGGCAAATAATGATGAAGAAATTTCTAAGTAATCAATGAGTCGGCAGTTTTCGCTATGAGGTCATTGGGTATTACTTTCATGATTAACGTTTACAAATATTAAATATCTATGGAATACATATACTCGTGATATCAAAACTCTAAATTACGTATCTATTATTAGTAGTTCGTCAATATTTTCATATGGATGTACAATTATTGTAGTTGTAAAAATATTCTAAGCTGACCAACGTTAGCAGAGTCCCGAAATTATTCCATTACAACTGTATCCTTGTTGGGAACAATTGATATCAATATTTGTATCAATAATGCGAGGCAGACGTTTACGTACGTGGTTTGAATCCAGTGGTCCCCTAACAGATGTAACATAACAATTGCTTATGTTACCTCTAGATCAATTTACGAATATCCCTTACCTTTGTATTTTTCAGGTAAATATTATGTGTAATTGATTTGGTTGTAAATTATTTTTATAAGTTATCATATAAATCAAAATCTCATTTATATTTCAATATAGTTATATATATAATTTAAAAATATAAATATATTTTTGACATTAATTTTACGATCATAACGTTATTTTTATATTAATTTTGCTAATGAAACTTTATATAGAAAAATAAGAAAAAGAAATATTTCTAAATCACAAAGAACTATTGCTTAATATTTTATATCGGTTAGGAGAAATGCTACTTCAACAGAAGAAATTATTCAACGCTCGGTAGAATATTGTTGCAAAGAGATGAAAGATAAATGTAAGAGACAAACCCATATTCCTCTTAATTATTTATTATGATTCTATTGCTAAAAACTTTAAAAACTGGACTTCATTTTAATTTTGATATCATAACATAAAAAAAATTCTCATATACACTCAAACCACGAACTACATAATTCTTAGATATTTTTAAACTCCGATTAAAATTCAAAAAATTCTACATAGCTTAAGGGCTTTCGCAGACCAAAAACTTTTATCGGCCGATAATTTAATTAGGCTCTTAATCAACATGAAGACGTATGAAAATGAGTATACTTGAGCGATATAATTTTCGTACTCATTAAATGAACTATGAACGTTCTATAGAAGTTTTAAGTATGAAGTACATTTAGATGCTGAAAATATTCTGATGGCACGAAAAACATTAATAACTCGGAAATTTAACAACAAATTATAAAAAAAGTAAATCACACTTATAAATATTTCAAGTAAAATATACCTTAAGATTCAATTAACAATCGTCAATACCCATTGTCTGTCTAATAAGGACATTGTAAGTAATAGAATAGCTGGTATTAGGTTGAAAATTACTAATATTATTATTATGTGTTAGGGCTATGTATCAAAATTTCTTGGAGATGCGGTTTCGGGCCCGGCGTTGTTAGCATTTAATTGATTTTGTATCCGGAAACTAATTAGAATCGAGGTTTCTGTAACCGAACAGTATTAATAACTTATAAACTAGCCTGCAATCTTGTCAAGCTAGGACGATTTAATGATAAAGTTGAGAGTCAACCCTAATATATAAATATAAGCAAAATGTTCATAGATGTCCATTATGATTTTGAAATGGTCTCTGTTGGATTTGGTTATTTACATAATATTCAGACTTTAAAAAACAAAAATACATCCATGTATATTGTAATCTACCCTAGGGCTGAACTTAATTAAAATTTTGTGATAATAATAATTAGCGGGGTAATTCACATTTTTACTGATGTAAACTTCAATAACATTATGAAAAAATTACTCATTGGCAATGTCATATACCATTCGAAGAGTAATGCAGACGTGAATGTATGAAAACATTTTATATAAAGCACCAATTCCCAATTAATGTAGAGAATATTTGTGTTAAAATTAGTTATACAAATTATTTAAAAATACGATTAAAATTCTCCTAACACAACACAATCCTTAACAAAAACTCGTGTCACAAAATCTATTATAATATTTAATATTCAGAAGATATCAATCAATATAAGGTAAAACTAAAGCAAACACATTTTACATAATACTTGTATTACCGTTGAAGTAGTCGATGGCCCTTGCTATCGTTCCGATATTTATTCAGTTGCCCACTAAGAAGCTTATAATTCACCGCTCTAGTATTGTATTAATAATTCAAAACATCCGTCGGACCGTATCTCTTCTGGCCAGCCAATTAGCTCGTCCGGATTTTATTGTTCCTAAATATTATTAAAATTATATTCATGACTACAAAATTTTAATTACCGTCAGATATTAATCGCGAAATATTGCTTTAGCGAAGCTGGATTTATTGAATATTTTAGAAGGCGATTAGAAAACAAAAGGTACTTGCTCTTTGTAGGTATATATTTTATGGCAAGAATTCTATAAAAAAATTAAAATAGCCCATCCAACTCAAATATTCAAGGTATCTGCAAGGCAATTGCATTACGATTTCAAGCTTCGCTTACAAAGGCAATATGCAGAAAGCAAGCTATTTGTGGTATGAAGCGGTTTTAGAAACGCCAACAAAGTATACGGTTGTTCATTCTACAAGATTGTCGTATTCCTTATTCATTCTATTTAAAATGAATGCACAATTGTAGGTCTTTTGTGTACAAACGAAAAATAAACATTATATGTTCATTATATCACAAGAATACAAAATTAGTTTTTTGTTCAACATTTTTATTAGATTGTATCTTGTATGTAGCATACAGGCTCAAATTATGTTAAAGAATATTCCTTATCTGTAAGTTTAGATCAAAACAACTCATCAATTAAAAGCATAAGTACCGAATAAAGACTTGTCGGTAGATATTTTTTTGGCTTGACATTGATACGAGATGTAGAGAGAACATCAAGTATTGTATTACAAGCTCCGTGGTCTTAATCGAGACAAAATTTTATTATACTCATACCCCTGTTCCCTACCATTCAATTGAACACCTTCGCACAATTGAAGGGTTCCTTCAATAGGATGTCGAATGAAATTTCTTAAGATCGTACCTTATTATAAACGAAGCCTGTCGTGCAATAGGCAGCAGTAACGGTTTAATTGTGGAAGAAAATGAGATCTGATACAAAAGTAGATTTGATCCCCTTAATGGACTCACACAAAATAATACTGTAGAAATCCTTGGCGTCCCTGATATCCAGTTAGGAGTTTTTAATTTTTTAATTACTCATTAAATTTAAGATGAAATAAGCCATCTGCATTATTTCCATTGTTTTAATTTATTTAAATCAACGTCCACTGTTTTAACAAAATTAATTATCTTACCAAAATTTGTTTCCTTTATAGAGGATTTTGTTATGATTTCAATATCTGAAAGATATGACGATCAAAGATAATACATATTCGTTCGGGCGGCATATCTAAGTATTCTTTTGGTGTTGAGGGAATTCGTAATGAAGACGTCGTTACCAAACCGGTTCTTACTTGAGAGGTTTGTGTTGGACTGGACGAGAGAGATTCTCGTTACCGTGTGATATAAAAACGAGCAAACATCACGGTCATGTAATGGTAGATCTTTATATGAACAGAAACATTACTAATGATTAAGTATTGTTACCATGGTCCAGTCTTACATCCTTAATCAATGCAATGAAAATAATTGCGATTCTCAAAAATAATTGTTTAATTAATAAATAAGTTCCATACTTCTTGATTCAACATAGTTATACATATATATAAATATAACTTATAAAAGTAATTCAACCCCATTCGCTTTGAAAGGGGAGATTGAAAATTTTATATCCACTCAAATATCTGTCTAAGAAATCATTCACAAGTTAAACCTACATCATTAATCATTTCGTATCAATTTTAAGGGCCCACAATGCCACTGAGTTTAAATTATAGATGTTTTTATATACTTTTAAATCCCTTGGAATACGTCAACTTATGCCATAATAATGTTTTTATTAAACATTATTCAAGTCACAGTTCTTGAAGGATATATTATCCTTAAATGATTCTCAAAGGCATGATAAATAACTGTCATGAGATGAGATGAAAACATATTTCTAAAGTAAAAATTATTAATATAATAATATAATATTTACTACAACGCTGAGATCTCAAATTTTACAAAATAATGACGAAGTCGAAGCTTAAAATCAAGTCAACTTAAAACACTCACCAAAGAACAAAAGTCAAACAAGCTTAAAGAACAAGCTTAGAGAGTTTACAATTTATTCTCTACACCTTTTACATGAAGCTGTTATAAAATATAAACTATATTCATGCAAAACTTTCACAGATATCCCCTTTCGGCCCTTTTGGAATTCTTTTTGAGGTTTATCTATTTAATTCATCAAGACTCTTCCAGGGTCTGACCGCATTCACGATATCTGCCACATGATGAAGGGATTCGGGTTAAATTTACCAGAAGACATTTATTTATTCACTGATACCCGCGATTATCATCTCTTTGGACTTAAGATGAATGATTATATTTTAATATGGATTATGTGACGAAATTATAACAGATAAGAGAACTAATCCCTACTAATATTATAAATGCGAAAGTAACTCTGTCTGTCTGTCTGTCTGTCTGTCTGTCTGTCTGTCTGCTACGCTTTCACGCCTAAACCACTGAACTGATTTTAATGAAATTCGGTACAGAGATAGAGTTGACCTTGAGAAAGAACATAGGATAGTTTTTATCCCAGACTTTTGAAAGGTTCTCTTGGAAACGCGATATAACCGAACTCCACGCGGCGAAGCTGCGGGCGGAAAGCTAGTTTATTATAAAATTTAAATAATGAGATTGTTATTGATGTGGCAATTTATATTGTAACCATTTATGGCTACGACCTTTAGGTCAATAGCAGTAGATTTTTTCACAAGCGAAAATAAATAAATGCTATATTGATTTATAGATTACGACTGCTTTCTAACCCCAAAAATATATAGATAAAAACTTAATAATAAAATCATAATTTCTCCCATGATGGGCGTTTGGTGTTGCACATTCATGGCATTGTATCATTATTGGTTGCATTGTTGAATATTGAAGTTAATGTTTGCCATTGAGAACAGTCTAATAAATCATTTCGTTTCAATCACAATACCCAATAAATATTGAATGAAAAATTGGTTTGCATAATATTGGAGGTGAAGTCATGTGTTTTATCATGCGAGTAGTAATGACCTGTGTCAGAGCCCGTCGCTCAAGCATTCAAGAGCTAAGTTTAGGCCTAAAAATTAACAATTTAAAATCCATACGATTATAATTATTACATTAATATATTATTATTCTTTATTATTTTTATGCTGGAGTTTTGTTGCAACATAATCAAAGAGTGACCATATATTGTTATTTTTTTGTGATTATTATCATTTGTAATTTCTTTCGCAGGAAACGATAATGTTAAATTCCTACTAAATAACATATTTCATACTATTTGTGTGTTGTTTGGACATTAAGTGACTGTGTAAAGATGCGGACTATGAGCGTAACATCCTTGGTGCGAGTAGCTTTAGTGCTTGTCGGTGTAGAGTGGCAGGTTCAATCCCAGTCCGTACAAACTGGAATAGACAGTTCTTATAATTTTTACTATGAACAACCTTGCTGTACTGGACCCGTTATAAAAAACAAATACCACATGAGACACAAGCGAGGTAAGTTATACAATTTATTTATTTATTATTTAAGGCTATACTAATTAGGGCTATGTTACTGTTAACCAATGTGTGTTTCATATGACACACACAATAAGGAATTTTGCACAATTCCCAGAAGATACCGAACCATGATTCATGATGTTGCAGTAAGCAACAAACATGTTTTTTTACGTGTGTATTTGTATGTATACAACACACACATGCACATCCGCGACGCTTTCAAGGGTACGTAATGTGAGAGCGGGACAAGTATATGTTTATAAATAGGTAAAGTGAGACAAAACAATCCTTTTGTTTCTCTGCCCTCCCTGATGTCGGGAGATTTTAATACAGTTGTAGTTATTGTTACTCTATGAAAGTTTATTTCCTAGAACTCCGTAATTTCTTTTAGACGATTGGTTCATATTTTGTAAGCTGTATTTGGTATACATCGTTTTATTTTATTTTTAAAAATAAATCATGAATGATACATAGATGTAATTAGAAAGAAAATAATTAAAATCGCGTGAAACAAAATACTTCTTCGTATAATGTAGGTACAATTTTATTACTTTTACTACCTTCATTAAACAGTGACTCAAAACAGCTCACCGAGGAGTTAATGAGTGGAACTTAGATCATTAAGAGTGTATATTAAAAATCGGTAAAAAGTTTACTCGAATAAGTTGTAAAATGTTATAAAATAAAACATACTTATTTATTCATATAATCTGTAAATAATATATTCGTATCTCCCAGACAATTTTTTAGTGTTAATTACAATTATTTTTTCAATCAAAAATAAATTAAGGTTTTTACTAAGCAACCATTCATAGGTATATGACATTGTTGGTCTATAATAATAATGAGATGATTCATTTCTTAATATGTAATAACAATATTAAAAAGAAGAAATAAGTTCTAATAAAATATTACGCTATTGGAATCATCGCTTTATATTATCTAATTAGCTGTCAATATTATCTCTATTGATATATTAAAGAATTTTAAAAAATTTTTGTTTACTGTTCATATACCTTATGGCTTGTGTTATTTAGAAAAATCGAACAATGTAACTACAAGTTATCTAGATTGTTTGACACGTTATGAAGGCATATATTGCATAAACGTTTCAACATACCTAGCATAAATAATATGTACATTCATGCAAGTTAAAAGCATTACCTCTTCTTTTTTCTCAACCAGTCGACTGAAGTATAGATGCCATTTATGCCCACAGGGGTAAAAGCGTAAATAGTATAGGCAAATATAATATTTTTTCGACAGCACATCAATATTGAAAATAAATAAATAAATGGCAAAAAAAAAATCTCTGCATTCAAAACTTAATGGGAAAACTATTTGAATGGTGCTGGAGCTATTTAGCTCAAACGTCATCTGTGTCAATCACGTAGGTTTTCGAATAGCAAAACCGATTATCGGGCATATTAAGTCAGTTATTGTTATCGACAGCTCCGTCCAACCGACCGTAAAGTAGATTAGGGACCTCATAATGCCATGTTTTGGCGTCAGCTGCACACATAGCATGCATATACGACATTTTTCAAACATAATTCTCTATTAATCTACGTCTTTGAAGTAGTGGAACTTTTGAATGATAATATTCTCGTTTGAATTACACGTTCATACAATTTCGGTGAAGACGGGGTTAGTGCGATGTTGATAATTACAGGGGTTGAAAACTTGAATGATGGCCCGTTGAAAGGGACGAATAAGTTTAGGTCGCTTCTTCAGCGGTCGGTCAAATAATGGACGACGCTTGTCATTACATAGATAAATGTTTCGCATTTATCTGTAAAGTTCAGTCATTCAAAGAAAATAGAAAATTATTTTTGTACGTGTATTGATTTTTTAATTAGTTCTTATAAATTTAATATATTATTAAATAGTTCTCATTTTAAATACATGCTATCAAACTTGTTTACATTCAGACCCGATATTATATATACATATATCTGTAGAATTTAATATTTAATATCAATGGCCACTTGAAAGCCTAGGCAGCCTGAATGAACTAAATCAGCAGCATTTAAAAGAAAGAACGCACTCAGCCAGGCAAAGTGGAATGGGAAAAAACACACAATAAACTAAGGAGCGACTGCCAACGTCCGGCGTAGTCACAACTTGGAGTTCGACTTGCTTTGACCACTGACCACATCTCAGCTCTAAATGTCGAATGTTCCATATGAAAATGACCTCTTTTTGTACTTAACATCAAAAGACCGTTGTTTTTGCTCAGTAAATAGTCGATTGAATAATGAAATCGTTTTGGAAATGAATGTATTATATTGTCAGACGAGAAAGAAATCTCAAAATCAACAACCTTTACCCGACCCAAATCGTATGGAAGACACGACGGATAAGTCCGAAGGGAGATGACATTACTTATTTTAGACATTCGCGGCACAAAACATTTTGTACGAAATTTGGTCACGTATATATAAGAAATGTGTCCCATATCGTATCTTGTAGGTATTGCGATTGTCCATTGTATTCTCGCGAGACAAAGGGTTAAGGACGCTGGGAGGAAACTTACCTTCGTCAAACCGCTTTTTGGAATCAAACGTTCAGGTATTCGTGGCTGATCAACCCATTTTATCTCAGCTGCTTTCACGTTTCGGTGATTCCGCAAATCATTCTGAATGTTGTAAATATTAGTGACGTACAAATTCTTCAGCGTTCCAACCTTATACGTGACTTTGAATGGACCGAAAAAATGCAATATAAAGATATTTATATACAAAATATGTTTTTTTATGTAACTGGAAATACCTCATAGCTCTTTTATGTATTTTAAACCACCAGCTAATTTAAACTTTAAAATATTTTCTATTACCAGTTTTTAAACGACTTAATAATAATATAAACAACTCGAAAGGTAAAGGAATGTCTCTTTAAAACATACATATTACATGTATGCTAAGAGAATAATGTTAAAAAGGTACTATTATTTTATACTAAATATTTATATTAAAAGTAAATTAATATCCTATATAACGTTATGCACATTTAAACCTGTTCTGTTAATTGGTTTCATTTTATCGACATCAAAATTCATTTGCAAAGTAAGCGTAAATGATTTGTTGATTGCTAGCTTAATTTGATTTATTGCAAAAACCAACAATCACAGTGGGGAATCTTAATGACTCCAGATTAAGTTATTTATTTAATTATCTTCTATGAAATATAACAAAAAGACCACTTTTATAACGAAAATTTTAAAATAAGCGACCTCTATAAAATATTTTTAGTCAAAATAAACTTTTATAATCTGGTACTATAAAATGTTTTACAAACTAAAACTAATTTCTGTTCAAGCACTTATAAACTTAAACACAAATAGGCTCTTAAGTATTAGATTAAAGTCGTCTTTTATGAAATTAATCCGTGCATCCTTAGTTACATCGCCGCGGTATATAAATTAAATTTTGTTCAGCACTCTATCCCCTTCAGACCTTGAGCCGTCCACATTAACTTTATAACGCCCTGCTTTGTTCGCTTTAAAACAATTGCGGTTGCAAAGAGATCCGCGAATTCCAGTCGTAAAACAGTCATCGCTACGTTGATGTTGCTATAAGCATTGTTGGTATAAGCGTCCAAAATCTTACCGTCTGGAAAATTTTTGCCTTTGTACTCAGAACATTCGAAGCAGAAGCCGAATAAGTTACCTAATCTCTGCTCAAACCCTTTTATGTTCCATTCGTCAATACTTCCTAAAATTGAACCATAGCGTTTTGCCAACGTAAGTTACCCGTATGTCTTTAGGTGCCTAATCTTGGACTATTGTCGAATCCTTTATCCCTCTTAAAGCGTCGTAGGATATTCAATTCGAAAGATATTAAATAAAGATTACACTCCAGAGTTTTCAATTTTGAAGGAATTATGATTTGAGACCAAAAAAAATTATGGTATATATTGGAAATAGCCATAACTTCACCTGCTATTTCCGCTTATTAATTTGAATGTAAGATATGTATCAGTGTTTAAACACTAGCTAACTAAAAAGAGATTTTTTCAATAAATTTTTGCATAATTGAGTGTCAAACGCATAAAAACATGTCATAGTCTAAATTATTATTAAAACACTTTATTTATTTAACTTCTAAACTTAAAAATAGATTATTTACTTTTTCAGTTTATTTTGCGACGCAGATACTTAATTTCAATGTATAATTTATTCGCAGTCAAAAATTTAGCAAAAGAATAAAGTTTATGGAGATCTTGTGAAAATGAACAATGTACTCAGGGCTTACACAACGTTGCCTAAGTAGCATTTGCAATGTTAATTTTATTCCATTTCAGTGCGGTAACGTTTTTAAAATAACTAGTAAAGAGAACATTTAATATTTAGCACTTAGCTAAAGTTAAATTATCGCAGTATAATCTCTCAGTGTAGACTTCAACACCTCGGTGTTGGAAGGAAATATTGTTAAAATATAATTTTAGAATAGAATATTACTATTTAAGAACGTTAATGAGCACTCTTTTCTAAGATAATTGTTATGTTTAGAACCAGATACGACAAGTCTGGCTTATAAAAATTTAGATTACTTGCTGTCAGAAAAATAAAGTAGAAATATCTACATAGCATCATACTTTTTAACTTCACAATTTCTCTTGTGGAAATAATGAAATAAGTTTAATTAGAGTCCGTTGTCGGTTCCTAGTCTTAATTAAGCTTTGGATTCAATGTAGACGATTCTATTTGTTCGTGATACCCGATATTTATACTATCGCTTCTATGAAATGTGTATAATGGCAGTTAGAAACAAACTGATTGGACAACAAATATTCCAGAAATACCTAAGAATTATAATTTATTTAGTTTCTATTCATATTTATTTACTACTTTCTATTAACTTTTTTTAAAATTTGTTGGTTTAAATCTTGTAATGTGCTTTAAATTAAAAATAAGTCTTAAATTATTTAAATAGATGAAATTAGTTTTATATTTGAATTGAACTCCCTAAATACTTTGTTTAAATAGATTTTTGCCA